ATTTTTTTACATCAGAGATTAAAAGGAAAAAACCTGAGTTACTACCATTGTTTATGTATAGTGCTGAAGTGGGTTGATGAGCTGAATTTTGCAAGTCACATAGGGGCTGTTGTTTTCGTCGGTTCTCTCTTTTTTTTTCAATAACATGTTAAGTAGTCCTCAGTTAACAACAATGTTTAGAAAATCTCACTGAAGGTCAAACCAGAACAGAGACAAAGTTCAGAGATTAGATTTCGAGGAAGGAATTTGAGTCTCCCATTCCAGATTGGAGACGTGGTCACTCTAGAACTCTTGCAGACCCCAGGTTTTGTACAAGAAGATGTTCTGCTGTGTTATCAGTGGTGCAAATGTGCTTTGGAGTTGGTCTCCTACATTCTTATTCTCAATTTCATTTCTTCTCAGATATGTATTGAATTCATCAAAGGCACACTGAATGTGGAGCAGGCCTGTGAAGCCTTTCAGGTGAGTTTCATTGTTCCCTATTCAATCTTGCTTTGCTTGCAATGCTGTCTGCCAGCCCTAGAGCCCTTGATCAATTTAAGGGTAGAAATAATAGAAAACCTTCCTTAAGGCTACCAATTCTGTAAGCCTTCTTGAATCTCAGCATTGGGGAAAAGGTGGGATATAACTGAATAAAATCATTCTCATTTCATTGTCACCACCACCATCATCAATCTTGCAAATTTCCCCAGCCATACAAATCTTTGCAGATTCCCCATCTGTTCATTTGACCGGTCCAATGACAATGTGCAAGACCCAATACACTTTTAACGTCATGTAAATATATTCTAGTGTAGCTATGCTGGATCCCACAGTTACACTACTAATTGTGCAAGTGGTGCCAAGGGCTTGAGCTCACCCATTGTACAATAGCTAATGAGCTCCGCACCCACTAGTCAACAGGGAGAGAGGGAAAGGGCTGTATGTATGTGTTTGCAAAGTGGACACATCTGTACAACTCTGAGAAAGCACAGTCTCTTGTGCAACAATTTTATATTAGCGTACTGTCCCAACAGGGTTCTAATCAATAGGGTATATAAAAACATTGGCAAAGTTACTAGAGCTTGGGAAGTAGCTGTAAAGCCAAGCTGGAGGAAGAAAGAGTACTAGGTACTAGAATATGGACAGGTATAGAAAGGCTGAAATTAGCAGGCTTGTAAACAGCCACTCTCCTGACTGGCTGTAGTCAGTAACAATTGCCTCAGTGTGGCCATGTGGGTGAATGGAGAAATATTAATATCGAAACATGTGGCCAAGTAGGTAAAGTGCTGCAACTTTTTTGTCCCATAAATACCATGAAGGCCCCAGATCCTGTCTGATCTTCGAAGCTAAGCAGGGCCAGCCCTGGTTAGTACTTGGATGACAGACCAAGATGTATTTCAGAGGAAGAAACTGGTCTTTAGCCTTCTTTGCCAAAGAGTGCTGGTGCAGCATCAAACTGCAGATCCCAGGATTCTGTAGGACATGGCAGTTAAAGTGATGTCAAACTTCATTATTTCTACCGTGTAGATGCACTCTTAAGTCTAATACCATTTTAAATTAATTACAGCTGACAATATCAATAATTAAAACTCAGAATACTGGTAAATTGATATCATTTAGCAGTTATTAGAATACATAAGCAAGAATGAAATCTAATAAAACTTTCCATTGCAATCAGGTGTTAACAGATGGTACATTGCAGCAGCCAATTTCCAAAAGTGCCAAATGCAGGAAACAGCACTTAGGGTGTCAAAATAAAATGTGTGAGACACAGAGATGTCAAAACAGTCTTATTTAAATTTAAAAGCTGTATACATTAGAGTCCCAGAGCTTCCAAAACAAAAATGCTTAGGTCAGTCAGGCCTTATAAATAACTTAGCCTGCAATTAATGAAAATTAGTCTCCTCCTTTCACTGGAATAGTCACTTCTCCCCTCCTTTCGGTGAAAATACTAATTTTCCCCAAGTTCCTGTAAAACTGAGAGTTTAAATATTCTGTCTGTCTGCAGACCCATGGAATTTACTGCTACTGACTGTGCTATACAACAGGAAGGAGCTGAAGAATTTGCTGGAATAGGAAAATGTGAAGCTCTGGCTCTGTTAAGAAAGAATACTGGCATAGGAACTCACTGCAGTCCATCCTTTCATCTGCTGCTGCATTGCTGTAATTTGCCAACAAACCACAGCACCAAATTTCTGCAGCAGAAGCAGGGAACCCTCTTTAAATCTAGCAGGAAATGTTCATTTTGAAGCTCTTCCCCCAGTTTGCTGTGAAAATGGGTAGTATGGTTTGCTGATGAATCCTTTTAAATTCTGATGGCAATTCTGTAGGGACCTGGGAGCCATAAAAATAGTCAGGGTGGCTGCATGTCGGCTTTAGTTTGCCCACCTCTCCACTAGTCCAATGTGATCCTGGCCCTCAGCACTTCCCAGAGCATAACCCCATCCTGAAATTATGATGCAAAATATATTTTTTTGTTGTGTGCCTTCAAGTAGTTTCCAACTTATGGCAACTCTAAGGTGAACCCATCACAGGGTTTTCTTGGCAAGATCAATTCAGAGAGGGTTTGTCTTTGCCTTCCTCTGAGGCTGAAAGAGTGTAAGTTGCTCTAGGTCACCCAGTGGGTTTCCATGGGTGAGTGTGGATTTAAACTCTGGTCTACAGAGTTGTAGTCAAACCACTACACCACGCTGGCTCACAAAGTCTGATTACTAGTTCTGTTTTGACAACTCTAATCTCTTGGTTTATCTATTAGTATATTAGCTTACTCCTCTGATAACAATACCCTTGTACAGAGTCTGCATGTTAATTTTTCATGTTTTATTTTCTACTTATAAAAATAAAAAGCAATGCATTGTACAGAGCTTGGCACCAAGACAAATGCTATTACAATGTCAATTTTCATCTGTCTTTACCCACATTAGCAAGTTCCAACTGTTAATTTCAGTTCGTGATGCATTTCACTCTTCCATTATTGGAGATGGAGAACAAAAGGCCTTTAATTTCCTTTTCTGGGACCCACTGATTTTTGCAGGACCTTGGGGGTGCATGTCTCAGAGTTAACACAAAATTCCTCCACCAAAATTCTTCCCTTTTTTTATTACAGTTATTATGATTTTAGTGCTGAATGATGGGGTGAGCTCCTGGCACTAGTCCCAGCTTCTGCCAACCTAGCAGTTCGAAAGCATGCAAATACAAGTAGATGAATAGGTACTACTTTGGTGGGAAGGTAAACAGCATTCTGTGCAATCATGCTGGCCACATGATCACAGAGTAGTCTCTGGCAATGCTGGCTCTTTGGCTTAGTAACGAAGATAAGCACCACTCCCTACAGTCGGACACGGCTTGGCAACCTTGTCAACGTGGAATACCTTTACCTTTACCTTTTTGTGATTTTAGACTTTTGAAATGGAGAAACTGATATGCTGGTGGTGAGAGAAAGACAACTCTGCCTTTAATTCTTGGTTATTTTATTTTATTTTATTTTATTTTTAAAAAGAGGTTTTTCCAGCTGTCTAGTTCAGGAGCAAGGTGCACTCAAAGCAGATTCGGTCACATCTGTGATTCCTGCCCTCCCTTATTGGTCTCACCATAGGGTATGTTATCCCTTCCAGCAGGGCAATGGAGAAACCACATCTTCTTTGAACTGTGAACCTTCCACTCTTGTCCCACATCTGAGCCTTCACCATGGGACCTGACCAAGGCCTCCCATTGTGTCCCACTGTCTTTGTTCTGCAGACACCTGCCCTCTTAAAGACTGACAAGGGAACCCCACTGGGTGATTTCATGCCAGCTGACATGCACAAGCTGAAATCCAGCAGCTGAAATTCAGGAGTAGGCAGCCGGTATATGGGACTTTGACAGCTACCAAAACCCACATTAAGCTGGGGAGCAAGTGTGTAAACAAGGGACCCCTGTTGTGTTTGGTTCTGTTGGCTTTATTTTGATTCTACTTGGATTGTGCTGTGTCGCAGAAAGGATAGTTGTGTGGTAGATGCCTCTTCATGATTTCTTTGTATGCATCCAATCCCCCGCCCCCATATACGCCAATATGCCAAAGGGGACTGGAGGGTGAGGAGCATTTGCAGTAACAAAAGACCTGTGCTGGTCTTTTGTGTTGTGCAGCTGCAGTTACACTGAAGACAGGAAACTACTGTGCTGTCTGGAGAAGGGGAGGGGGGACAGTACTGGATAGTCAGATCCATGACACAATAGGTCTGATATAATCACCCAAAAGGATTTCCATGTTGTTAAGACACTTTTGACTACAGCCCTTCTTGTTTATATTAGCTTGCCTTGAGGTTTGCAAAGTCGTGTCTCTGCGCCCTCTTTCCTACTTCTAAAATAAGTGAATAAAAGACAGGATTTCATAAATGATCCACTTCTGCAGGGATGCCTTTCTAAGCTCTGTAACTGGAGGAGTTGATGAAATTGGTATGCACACCGTTGGCCCACATCTGGAGTCATCTGGCCCACAGACCACTGTGGCATAATCTGCCTCCACCTACCTTCCCACCCACCCAATAAATTGTGGTTTCCCACTTTTTGGATCTTGTTGGCTTCCACTGACAGCTGATCTCACAAACTGAGAGCTCTGTGAGATCCACTTCCCAGTTCGCACTGTGATAATACCAGATGACATGCTCATGATGCCCATGTGCTTCTGTGATGTGGTAGGCTATAAGCAAACCTCAACCATAAGTGGGCCCGGATGATGACCTGGATGCACATGCAGGGCCTCTAAACTCTGTTCTCTAAATCCACCCACAACATCCTCCCTTGCTTATCTCTTGCAACACTCAACAATGCAAGTGATGGTGACTGTAGGACTATCAGCCAGCTGTAAAATTTGCCCTTAGAATTATCAGCTCATGCCACAAACCACAAAAATTATCATCTGGCTTTATTAAGTACTGTAAACACTTTGTCCATGTCTCACATTTCCAATCTAGTGCGTATACAGCCAATGTAAAAGCAGAGGAAGTTGCTGTTTGGATATGAATATATAATGTTGGTGAACCAAGGTGGTATGGTTTGAGCACTGGATTAGGACTCTGGAGACCAGGGTTCGAATCCCTGCTTGGTCATGAAAACCTACTGGGTGACCTTTGCCAAGTCACATTCTCTCAGCCTCAGAAGAAGGCAAAAACAAATGATGTCTGGACATGACTGAACATCTCTGAAGATGCCAGCCACAGATGTTGAGAAACGTCAGAAAGAAACTCTTCTAGAACATGGCCACACAGCCCAAAAAACCCAAAAAACTATGGATGCTGGCCATGAAAGCCTACAACTTCACGATGTCTGAACAAATCTTACCAAGTAAATCCTTTGATAGGTTTGTCTTAGCATCACCATAAGTTGGAAACAACTTGAAGGCATGTAACCACAATATAATGTTGAGGTAGTGCAGCTCTTGACTTCATTTTGTAGAAAAAAGTTTTAGTTCAAATTCTGCCTGTTACTGTTCTCAAAGGGTACTTATTTTTATCTGACAAATTGGCCAGCAAATTTCAAATTCTCACAGCAGTTGTTCCATATGGTTATTCCTTCTTGCTCACTTGAACCACACAGCATTGTTTCTTTAGATCTTCTTTGAACACATCCAGCACAGTTGGTGTTTTGTCACTCCATCACTATAAATGTTTGTACATATACTTTGATCTAAGTTTTTATGTAGAGATTTATACCCTGCCTTTCAGTAAAATTCCCAAGGGAGGTTTGTTTTTTTCAAACAATTAAACAAAAGAATATAAAATTATGTGTGTATTTTAGATCCTGCCTTTCTTATTATATGGATCACAGTGCAGCTCACATTATGAGGAAAAATATGGTTGGGGGGCAGACATTTCAAACTATATTATTTATTTCCAGATGTATTATTTGTAGATGTAGTTTTCTCAAGGGCATTTGTGAAATGGTGAAGCTGAAGTAGACTAACCACCTGTTGTTGTTGCTGCTGCTGCTGCTGCTTTTAAATGAAACTCCTACCCATATCTCTGTAGCCCAGGGGCTGGTACTGTCACAATGCTAATTAGAGAGAGGAAGGGGAATTCCAGAATAATTTCAGGCAACCATTCTCATTCCACCTAGCAGATGACAAGTGATGATGAGTGCTCCGATAGTGCTATCTCTGCACTGTGATGATGGCAGGAAATTGGTAGTCCTATGCCTTATGCTTCAGTTATATCCCCCATAACCTAGACAAACAAATATTGTTAGAATATGCTGCTTTCCCCCTTGCTTATGACAAAGAAGTTAACATTGTTCTTTGGCAGCAGCAAATTGGCCTTAGGGATCTGATATCACAATATTGAGCAGGATGAGGTAGTTTGCTGTCTTCTCCTCTTCCTTCTTGTTACTGTTGTTTTTATTTCTTGGATGCCTTTTCTTAAAAAGGACAATTTGCAAAATTTAATGCCATATATCATGTAAAATACCATTTCCTCTTCCCCACGGCAAGTCTTAGGGACAATAAATAGATCTAAGGATGACATTTAAAAACTAGCTAATTGTTTCCCTTCAAATTTCACAAAATTCAATTTCCTGATAATTAGATCAGTTGTGGGGGAAATACAGCTCACTGTCTGCAGTCCCTGAAACCTCTTTGGTCACTTCTCAAGCTCCCAGTCTCAAAAGTATTTTAACAACAACAACAGTATTTATTTTTTTCACCCCTAGATGCTCAAAGTCACTCAAAAGTGCCACAAAAAGGAGCAGTTTTCTCCCATCTCAACTGTAAAACACCCCCAAAAGAGCAAAGAAAATGTTCCAGAAACAAAACTGACATTGATGTCATGTCAATTCCAGTTTCATTTTGGTACAGTGGTGCAGGCCACTGATGGGTGCTGGGTTGTATTATTTTTTAAAAATGCTCCTGCCCTGCCCTGCAGTTATCCACCCTGATCTAGACCAAAGGTAGGCAACCTGTAATCTAGGACCACATGTGGCCCTTGGACAAATATACAGTTCTTGAACTTACTTCAGAAGCCCTCTACTAGAGTGATACAACTGACAGGGTCATTTGCTCTTTTCTCTGCAGCCAGCTGTGCAAAAAGGAAGAGAGAAAAGAGTGTCGGGGAAAAAAGAGACAGAGAGGGTTGTGACTCTGGTTCTGGTCATTCTTGGCTCCTTCCCTGTTCACCACTGGCATTTAGCCCCAAGTGATTACTCTGCGGAGATTTAGTGCACGGCAAGAGACTGCTCATCTCTGATCTAGACTAACAGACTTATATATCACTTGTAACCATATTCTTAAAGTTCACCATATGTAGGCAAAGATTTTCCATATCCCCAAGACAGCATGCTTTGTTCAAGCCTCAGCTGGAGTACTGTGTCCAGTTCTGGGCGCTTCGGTTTAGGAAGAGTATCATTGACAAACTAGAATGTGTCCAGAGGAAAATGACAAAGATTGTAGAAGGTCTGAGAGTTAAGTACATTTAGCCTAGAGAAGAGAAGACTGAGAAGGGATTTGATAGCCATCTTTAAATATCCAAAAGCTTTTCAGGTGGAATATGGGATTATTTTGTTTTCCTCTGTTGCTCAAACCTATCAATTGAAATTGCAAGAAAGGAGATTCTGACTGAACATTATAAAGAACTTTCCTACAGTAAGAGCTGTTCAATGTAGGACGTATTGAAACAGAGGTTGAATGGCCACCTGTCAGGGAAGCTTTTGCTGTGGATTTCTGCATTGGCAGGTGGTTGGACTAACCAGCTCTATGATTCTATGTGATTTGCCAGTCTCTCTCTCTCTTAATCTCCCCACTTTTAATATAGATGTCTGAAAGAGAAAACCTATACATGAAGAACATGTGTATAGATGTGACATTCACTTAGGTCCTGTGAGCCTGGGTGCCTAATGTTGTGGGCAAGGCCACAAGACACTGTTCTGCTTTGCCTTCAGTTGTTAACCCTACATACGAAGGTATTTGTAAATAGGGCTTAATAGGTCATTCCTAACTAAACTAACAAAACTACTCAGATTGCACATTTTACAGATGTTTATAATGACTTGAGTTTTCAACAAATACATTAACATCTAAAGTAATTAAAATGCCCAAAAGGCATCAGTACCATTTTCTCTCTCTGCATGTTTGTGCGTCAACAGAATTTAGGTTCAAATAATCAGGGAAAAATTTACTTGCAGTTGCAATGGTTTAGGTCAGGGGGTAGGCAGAAGGTAGATCAGGAACTGTTGGTAGCTCTCTGGATGATTTGCATTACATGAAGCAGAAGTTTCTGACTTCTGTTGGTCTAACAAATAGCAACAACCTAAAAACTTCTCAATTTAGAAATTAACATTAGCTGAAACAACATGCTGAGATGGGGGACAAGGAATGGATTTTCATGTGTGAAAGGAATTGTGAGCTTGGTTCTGATACTGATTTCACATTTCTGGGTTAGGCATATGATCAGGTGCATCCTGTTTCCTTGATTCTTTAGTGTCCCCCCATGTCCCTCTGCTTCAGTCACTATTTTGTACCCAGTATTGGTTTGTGAATCCTAGAGGTGATTTTGCAAACGTCAAGTCTTCTCACCCTTGATGTAGATGGTGTTTACTATGAAGCCTCTTCCATGCATAGGTTCAAGTTTACTTTCTTATTTGTTTCCACTCTCAGGCATAAGTGTACTCCTGGGCCAAAGAGTGAAAGCAGTTGTTATACAAATAGAGCTGTGAGTTCACAGATGCACCTCTCTCTTCCTGTTTTTCTCGAAACAGAATAAGACAGAAGGGGAAAGCCACTCTGTGCACTGATGATGAATACTGTGGTTAAGGCCAACCAACCTAATTTTCCAGAGTGTCATCAACATTTTGATCTAAGCCAAAGTCTCCCACATCTGTCTCTCAGGGTAACCTTCTCCCACACACTTGAGAATGGAATCTCCTTTATATTCTCCCTGCCTCCCATCCCCCTTTGCAGACAAGAAGCCACCAACTTTTGGCAATACTTTAATATTTTGTAAGTTTTATTTATTTATTTGCTAAAATAACTGATAAGTCTTTTTTATATTAAGAGGAAGCCCCTGAGACTTCTTGTTGTTGCATGCCTTTAAGTTGTTTCCAACTTATGATGAGTCTAACGTGAACTTATTAAGGAGTTTTCTTGATAAGATTTGTTTGTTTGTTATTCTCTCTCTCTGAGGCTGAGTAAGTGTGACTTGAACAAGATCACCCAATGGTTTTCCATGGCTAAATTCAAACCCTGGTCTCCCAGAATCCTAGTCCAACACTCAAACCACTTCACCACACCTTAGTATCATAAAAATATGCATAGCAAATAGAGAAGAACAGAAGACATGAGATCACAATTGAACTTGCAAAAATCAAAAATATTAAAATATGTGCAGATTACACTGATAGAAGATTTTCATAATGCTGATAGAGTCATAGAATTGGAAGAGACCTAAGCACTACTGGTATGTAATGAAGAGACTTGTAGAGGAGTTTAACTGAAACATGTATTGGAAGGAGTTTCCCAGTAGAGATGCTGCAACCAAATAAGTCACAAGTGTGTGTCAACCAAATTTCTTGTGAGAGCAGCTGGACATGAAACAAGTGCCCAGTTGATGGACATAGCAGGCTTCAGGAAAAGATCTTCAAGCATCCTGGTCCCAGGACTTTTTAGAGACAACCCTATTTGTTCCTGAT